TGTGTGTGTGTGTGTGTGTGTGTGTGTGTGTGTGTGTGTGTGTGTGGAACTGCAGTTGCAAATCTAGGTCTGGTCAATACAACACAAACCAGGAATTAACATGTAACTGCGATCTGGTGTCCTCGCGTCAGATTTCACGTTATGCATTTTCATCAAGCCTGGTCAAGCAGGGAGTTTGAGAGTGAAGTGGTGTTTACCACCAACAGACAGAAGTTGATTGGTGTTGGCACTGGTTCTGACTGTACGTGAATGGTAAGTTCTGTGTGTGTCTCTGTGCAATTTTGCTTAGAGATGTGTGTATTTTCCAAATAGTACGGGTAAGTACAGTTCTTTCATGAAAATAAACTCACCTGGGTTCCAGCTGCAAGCCCAGAATTCACACAGTGTCAATCACATAATCACCCTTTCAACATGTTTAATTTGACAGAGGTTTGGAATACAAGCTCATTTACAAATGGGCCGCAGATCAAACTGAAGACTGGAACGGCATCATGTTTTAATTATCGTTGAACGGGAATATAAAGTGCACGCTCAGTATCTCTGCAGGAAAAGAGGAGTAAATGACTCTTCCTCTCTTTAGTTCTTAACAGCTTGGAGGGACCTGAGCACACTATTATAAATCAATATTGTTATAATTGAGTAATAAGTGTGTCAGTTTCGGGACAGACATATTTTTCTATGAATCCGCTCAGCTACTGTATCAGTCGTTCTATGAGTGATATTCACAAAGTTTTGTTTAGCTTCCAGCCCTCCCAGAGGAATAGACTTTGGAAAAACAACAGTAAATAGCAGCCGGCCCAATCATTATTACCTGCTGTAAAATTACAGTCCCATTTCGTTCACCGTGTGATGAGATTATTTTGTCCTACTTATTAATTGGAGTGAAATTGGAAAGTGACTCACAGCAGTGTTACTGGAAGGTGTCAGACACAGAAAGCAGGTAATTATGGAGACAGGAAGAGATAAGAAAATGGAATGCAATTACCCGAGCAAGCAGACCTTCAAATTGCTCCTCTTAGGATTTCTCACTTCAGGTTGCTATTGTTCATTCTTTGCATCTCCATACTGATCTATACCTTTCACCCTCTAGCTCAAAGAAGAAGGAAGGTTTGCATTAATCAAATGAATTTAGAGCCCATACAAAGCACCGAACAGCGCTCATTGACAAATTCCAAATGTATGTACTCTAAATCTAAATCTGGGCTAAATCTGATGTGTCCATTGATCTTCATGTGTCACTCAGAATTTAGTTTCATCTAACGTTCTGATATGTGAAGGCACTCTTCAGACTGATCTTCCCCATCTCTCTCCCCCACACTATAGTAGCAGACGTGTTTCCATACATAGCATGCATTACCTTTCTAAAGGATTTCATCAATGACAGACGCAAGCACAAAAAACAATTCCCTCTCCCAAGTCCCTCCCTTGTAAAAAATTGCACATTGCTGCATATACTTTAAATAAATGTTCTCAAAAAGAAATGCTGCTCGTGCTGCATTTCATTATTTTGTATCGATGCTATAGAGTACACAAAATGCAACTGCAGGAAGGACCATTGTTCTTTAATTGCCTGCTGTATGTAGATCGTTTGAATATTCTCGTCATGTAAAGGACAGGTTTTTCATTTCATATATTTTGACCCTTTATATTTTGACGAAAGCTCAAGGCTGCTATGTTGCTGATTCGAAATGAAGAAGGAGGGTTTCTTCTGCTCCATTTGTTCAAACTCTGTAGTGCCCGTTTTGTTACTTTAGCCATTTGTTTTAGCATTTAGGTGCTCTCTCAGCCTGTGCCACACACTCTCACTGCAGGCTCACACACACACACACACACACACATCTAGCTCGAGCTGGAGTTGAGAGGGAGTATATATGAGAGTGAACTCCTAAATGCAGCCTTTTATCTCAAACTTTTTTGACAGGTCTTTGGCTGTATTACATGAGCACACAAATATCACTTTTCTCCTTTTTGCAGAGACGAGCATGATGGTGACTTCTTGCACACAGCACGGGGTGTTGTTGATGCTCAGAGTGGCGCTTCAGCCCTGGATTCACTGCACACATAGTCACACATGTACTGTGATCGCATATAGCAAAATCTACTGCATTTAGAAGCTGAGACATGGGTGGTCCGACCGTTACTTATCACCGCGTGACTGCCGGCGCATTGGAGCCGATCCACTTGTCTTCCCAACAGCTTGTATCACTGCTGGGCCCGGCCTGCACTCACACAGGCCTCTACATATTCATGCACAGTTTGCCTTGAATTGTTGACAAAAAAATGTCCCCCTTTTTGGTTTGATGAATACTTTGTATCAGCACGAGGGCTTTCTGTAATTGCTGTATAGGTTTGATGACCGGATAGGTGCCACTTAGCCAAGCTTCAGTCAGTTTCAGCCTGGAGCTGGGAATGATCACTTCAGACAGATCAAGTGTGCGAGGGGAGTGTAAGAGTGTCACAAAGTGCCTTTATGTAAATGTGAGTTGAAGAGCGCCTCTTCATTGAGACTTAAATATACAGCGTTGTATATGCTACCCTGTCAGTCTCGGGGATGTGTCCTCTGTGAATGTAAAATGTTCGGCGTTCATATAAAAGGTTCAACACCTTCCTCTCTCTAGAAGACCCCAGAGAGAAAAGATGAGGCGGAGAGAGAGCTGGAAGCTGAGGGGGAAACGCGGCAATCTCTTCATCAGAGTGAAGAGAAAGTAGGACACATGGTAGGGATCAAGGTCGTAGCTCAATATATGAAAAAAAAAAGCTCTGGATTACAGGTGCCAAATCAAAGGTCAAAGGAAAATGAAATGAAGGATTGCTTCTCGAATATCAAAACAGACAGGACTCTGACAACACTATATTGTTTGGACGGTTTAGCAGAATGTATTTGGTCCCGATATTCCTTTGTTAGAAGAAGCGGTGTCTTTTGTTTCTTTGCACTACGGCAGCGTCGCTTTTATCGACACTGTCGTTCAAGTGCTCTATAGATTGTGAACTCTTCCCCCCCCCCACTCCTGGATTTGATAGAGAAGCAGGTCGTGCTGAGTATGTTTGTTTGTAGAGTGTTTGTTTAGCGCTCCCTTGTTCCTTCCCAACTGTTGGTGTTTTAACGCCTTCCAAATTACACCAAGGATAGCTGTGAGGCTCTCTTCTCCTTCTACTCCGTTAACAAGCACTCTGTTTAAATATGACTATGGTTCTCTGCTTGTTTATTCTGCCTTGCCTTTTTTTAAATGACTTTGCCGGTTTCGTTCAAGGTACAAAACGCAGTGAAGGATTCAGTTATTTTCTTTCTGTGGCGAAACAGTATGGTCTTTTTACTCTTCGCCGCCGTCAAATGAGCTGACCCCCCCCCCCCCCATTCACCATTTTGACGGTCATTCCTTTGTTTGCTTTGCAGCACTGCCAATCATGCAGGTGCAGATTGACATTACCAGACAGCAGGTGGAGAAGATCTTCGGTCTGGATGAGTACTGGTGTCAGTGTGTCGCCTGGAGCACCACCGGAACCCAGAAGAGCCAAAAAGCATACATCAGGATCGCTTGTGAGTGCACTTTAAAATGATCACTGTGGTGTTACAAATGCAAACGCTGCTTAACAAGGTGCTTACATATTGCATGCCAGGTTGTAATAAGAGGATATTAGCATTTTTTTCACTTTGGATTGGTGGGGAGACTAACTTTCATTTTACAATTAGCCCAGAGGCCATTGCGATCTCTGCACGGCAGTGCATTACTGCAATTGCAATTTAGTTAAATCCTCTTCCTGCGATTATTCTTCAGAAGTAAAAATTCAACCCTGGCAGGGAAAAACAGAGAGCAATGCATCTGCTTGAAGGCAGTCTTTTTAAAATAAAAGTGGAACACTATATTTGGGTATTCATGAGCATATTTCTCTCTGGATGCAGTATATCAGCAATGATCCCTATGAAAGTAACTGGAATAAAAACAGATTTGAAATTTATTGCTGTGCAGCAATCATAAATCTGTCTGGGGAACACAGACGCATCCCTCGCTGCAGCCTCAAAAGCTTTATTAGAAGAAGCCATTTTACATTTGAGTATTTTAAAGCATTCTGCCTATTAATTCCCACACATGCATTATTCTAGACCGAGCTGAATGCAGCACTGTCTCCAAACCACCAGACGTTTTGAAAACACACTATCATTATCCGACCTTTTTTGAGAGCTCAACAAAGTCGGTTAGATGTAAGATGAGGACACACACACATGCTTCAATAACGATGCGTTTGTGCGCACGCACCGCTTCGCATTCACGTGCACACGCATACACACTCGCATACATTTGAGCCTTCCAGGACTGTTATATTTCAAGTCTCCCCCAGACCCATTGTATCGGCTTTAATTAAATTAAATGTCGTGAAACTCTCTGCTTGTCTTAACGTTTCTCTCGCTGTGATTGGTTAGGACAGGCTCAACATCTGTTTAAAGGAATTCACCGGCGGCTCGCACCCTCAGCCCCCTGGATACACAATAACACATTGCTTCACTCTGAGTCAAAAACCCGGGGTGAACACATCAAATTTGCGCCAATCTGCCAGCAGTCAGCGACCTGTCTAGCTCATCAGATACAACGGCCTTGCATTTATTTCCACTTGTAAGAAATAACCATTGGCAGGTTTACCTGTGTAATGTGTGTAGCCTATACAAATGTATAGCAGGACTCGGTGCAACAGTAATAGTATCCAATGAGACGTAATGTGAAGCCCCCATGCAGTCAGCCAGGCTTGCAGGAGCTCTTGTCCAGGTGCCTCGGGGCAGTGTTTTCGTGTGGCTGCTCCGTACAGATGGAAGCTGGAGGCTGGCGGATGCTGGAGAGAGGAGAGTGGGTGGTAGGGGTGGAGTGAGGGGTAATGCAATTGCTTTTGCTTGATGCCGGGCCCCTCTGGCAGCAGACAAGCATCTCTGAACCAGCCAGGCAGCCTGTAATAAGCAACATGGTTGGTGCCACCGATCCCTGTGTGGCTTAGGGGCCAACTGGAGTGCGACATGCTCAGCGAGGCCATGGGTTGACATTTCAACAGTGATGAAAGTGAAAAAACGTCACCAAGCCAAGTTTTGTGGATAGAGGTATTCTTAAACCTCACAAGCGCTTACAAATATCCTAATTGGTTGCGTTTCTCCCCGTCTTCTTTTCTTCTTCCCTCAGACCTGAGAAAGAACTTTGAGGAGGAGCCGCAGGGTAAAGAGGTAGCATTGGACCAGGAGGTGCTACTGCGCTGCCATCCCCCTGAGGGAGTGCCACAAGCCGAGGTGAGACAAGGATTCAGAAGATATTTATAGGCCCACATCGAGCATCCATTTACCCTTTCCTCACCAGGAGGACAAAGAGCAAAAAGTAGCTCAGCATCAGCTCCCCAGCATCTCTCGCTGCTCCACCAGGGGAGCCGACAACCCTGTACGGATAAATTACACCTTTAATTATTCCCCATTATTGATTTATTATCTCTCTTACATCTCTAAGAATCCGTATATCATAGCATCTCGTCACATCACTCAGGATAGGCTTGGAGGCTTCAATCCCCGTTTGGCATCTCTAAAGGCCTATCCATAATTAATGGACCTATTTGCTTCTCTCTCTCCCTATCTTGTTCTCTCTGCCGTCTCTCCATGTCCTGTGTCTCTCATACACTCTTGTTCTGCCCAACTCTCTCGGTCCGTCTTCACATCTCTCAGTGGTGTGTGTGTGTCTGTGTTTAGAGGGACCAGACTGGGGCCAGCTGTTTCACCTCGTCTGCTGCATCCTCGCAGTCCCAGATAGGCACTAACCGCTTTAATAACAACACAAGAGGAGGTTAGGCCAGCCACTCAGACAGCTCAGAGACCAGAAGCAGCAGACTAGCCAATCACAGCTCGACAGAGTAGGGACAGTTTGCAGAGAAATGGGAAGGAAGGTGCCAACTGCAGTTCAACAGAAAAGAACATCAGAGCAGAAGTCACCACGGGAGAAAACGGGAATAGTGCACGAGAGGAAGAAAGCCCAATTATATGCGGCATCGCAACTGGCCGTAATACCAACAAGAATGCCTCCGTATCGTAGCTACTCTCGAGACGGCACAAGGTCAAGTGAGAGCACGAAAACAAGCAAACCAATCTGAGAGTACACCAAGAAAATGAATAACATCAGTTTTGGCTTCTGCAAGAGGGCACAGAAACTACACAAAGCGTGATCAGTTTCACTCTCAGACCGCCAACAGCTATGGAGAACTCCAGCGGCTACAAAATCAAAGCTACATTTCCCACACAAAAAGAGAACAAATAGGAACATCGTTCATCTCAGCATCAGTATCATACCAATCTACAATTGTTCTGCTTTTTGTCTGTTTGATTGCATCAAAAAAAATAAATACACCACTGCTTTTCCTGTCCATGTACAACTCCCTTATCTGCAGCAGTCCAGAGCTGCATAGGAGGGGGAGACGGTTTCTATTAAGTTGCAGTGAATTTTGACCTCTGAAACATATTTTCAGGTGGAGTGGCAGAGAAACGAGGATGTGATCAACCCAGCGAGTGACCCCAATTTTTTCATCACGGCTGACTACAATCTTGTCATCAAAAAAGCCCGGCTGGCGGACACGGGCAACTACACGTGTGTGGCAAAAAACATCGTCGCTCGCCGCAAAAGCACCTGTGCCACGGTCCTAGTCTATGGTAGGTGATAACTTCTTTCAACAGGTGTCACGGAGGGCAGCGGGAGAGGCCTGGGCTTCCAATAGCTCCTAAATTTACAAACATAAGAAACAGCTTGAATAATTCATCTATTGCTTGCATGTTGCTCTCGTTATCCCACATTTCCACATAAACATCTGCATGTTCTCATGCATGAACGATACCTGGGTGCACTTCTTTTATCAGGTGGTTGAAATATTACACTCAGATTTAACACCGTAGTTGTAATAACAAAATGCAGCATATTACGTATGGTGACAACTTGCATAAATCAGCTTTGTTTTTCAGCGAACAGTGAACTGCACTATCATTAATAACTACAAAAAGATATAGTAGTGTATCTGCACATTAATTAGCATGACTTAAAATGTTGCTGGCAGCCATTCTGCAGAAAAGCTGGCAGTCTCCAATCTTCCTCCTGCCATCTTCCTCGTTCTCTGTAGTGGATCCAATACGGGACGAGAAATTGAATTAACAGCAAACTGTAAATAATGACTTGGCTTGATAAGCGCACTGATCTTTATTAAAATTCAGGAAAAAACAGCATATTTTCTATCACAGAGGGTTCCTTGGGTACTGGCACTGCTTAAGTTTTGCATACGTTACAACAGCCAGCCTTAATTCTCAGCTATACATGCAATCAGGAAATTGTGTGGGAACGCATCTGAAAAATGTAAAAATCTGGCATAATGTCTGAAGCAGGGTGTGTTTTTGTTGAGGCTGCCAGAAGATGCCGATACCATGATGTGCTGTAAAGTCAGAACAAGAGTTCTTGTATTATCTAACACGACCGCAGAGATAACGCACCATATGCCACAAATATACAGCACTATGTAGGAGTACACGATCCTCCTCAGCAGCATGTGCACCAAGGCTTCTGCTATAAAATCATTTAAAGGTGTTTGTGTGAAATGTATTCAATATTTAGCTTGTACAAGGTTTACAAGACAATTCAGCTTATTTTGATGAAGTTTATAAATTTGAAATACATGAAAAACAAGGGGTGCACTGTAAGTTAGCATAGCACTCGTGAAATTAAGCAAATTATTTGATCAAAACATATTCGCGTCTTTATGTATTAAGTGTGAGTGAGAAAGCACCTGCGTGTATTACTTTTGATGTGACTTGTACAGTCTTTTTACTTTATTTAGTTTAGTAATATAATTATCAAATCAATATTTAACAATTAAGACAAAATAGACAGTAAGCACTTCAAGTAACTTCCTTTTAGGCTGGTTTTGTAAATGAACAGACTCTGTAGGGGGGTTCAAACGTTTACTTGGTGGTTTGACTGTAAATGTAGTTGAAAATTAAAGCATGTGCACTTTCACTGTGAACGGTTTCAAATGAAATGTGTTAATTTGCAGCATGCAGTCAAAACACACATTATCATACACTCCTCCAAGCCTCCAGCGTGAAAATAAAAAAGCCCAATTATTCCAGCTGTTGATTATAATAGATTAGCTTGTTGTTGAAAGACTTGCTCTGCAGATGAAGAAATCTAGCGTTGGAATAATTGTGGAGGCAAGAGCATTCACATTCCTATTGTTGGTCTTCCTCGTATTGTCAAACAATCGTTTTCACTCGTGGACCTGACAAATTGTGAACAAATTGCATAGGCTGCTTGCTTGTTTATTAATTTCTTCACATCACTCCATGTGCTTGACGAGATGAGAAATGTATTAACTTTGTTGACATATTTGAGGTTAAATCACAATACATGTGTTAAAAAGAAGAAGAAATGAAAGAACAATTCAGTTACCTGAGAGCTTCACTGTCCACCACACTAGCTAGCTGTAGTAAGTCATAACAGCTGGTACTTTTCAAAGGGGGTTCAACGGGGGGGGGCAGAGATGTATTTTAACAAGGCCTGGCTGGTGTGACTGCACTCTGTGCTAAGGGGCAATCAGGGGCCGAGTTGCCTGGCAATTTACCTCGCCGTGGTGGGCAATCAATCGCATAGAGAGGGCGAGGAAATGATTCAGCCACGACAAGCACAGGCGAGAGTTAGGGGGGGGGGATTAGGAAGGGAGTATGTACAGAGAAGGAACGACAGTGCTGTTCAAGTCAATAAATCAGGAATCTCGGTATCTTGTAAGCTGCGGTAAACACGGGATGTACAGGGGGGAGCTGATTAGAATCAAACCTGCGTGTTTGATATAATCACCTGCCGGGATCGAGCGATATACTGTAGCAGCAATTAAGTGCCAATAGAGGGTTAAGGTTCAGTACGTGGGCATTGTATATTTGTAAGTGCTTGAACCTTTAGTTTCAAATATAAAAGAGGCATAACTGATAGCCTACAGTGTTGTTCTCTACAATACTTGAGTTGAAGAATGAAATCAGCGGTGGATGTGTGAAGGACACAATCTGAATTACTGAAGCAGCAACGATATATATATTTATTTTTCAGTAGTGCGTTTGCATCTCCAAGGAGTAGGCGTGGGCTTTTTCTATGCACTCATGACTGTGAGCTTTTTTGCTTTAAATAGCATTTCTTTACAGTGATTACATTCTGCCTGAGTGTTTTGTATAATATCTTCCATTACCTTTAGAAAGGATATTTAAAATGTCCACCAGTTACTTTGCAGCTCTGTGTGTTCCTCAGCGATAAGGTCAAAAATGGCAAGCTGTCATGTTATTTGCTGCTCCCTGTTGAAGCCATTTTGTTTTCACAACAGTTGTCTGTATTGCCAACGTGGACACAGGAAGCAGCCAGTATTGCTCTCACTCTTCCATCAGTGCTCAACCAAAGAGTGTAACAGCAGTCACGATTATTCTAGCACAACACACCTCTTGTCCGTGGTGCATGTCGGGTAATCCTGGCTGCTCTGTCCCTTCATCCATCTATCCCTCCCTCCCAAACCCATCCCCCTCCCTCACCCACCTTTCCCCGGGCGCTGGTCTGACAGTCAACGGCGGCTGGTCCACGTGGACCACCTGGTCGTCCTGCAGTGCTGTGTGTGGGCGTGGCTGGCAGAAGAGGAGTCGGAGCTGCACCAACCCCACGCCACTGAATGGAGGCACATCCTGTGAGGGGCAGAACGTCCAGAAAAGTGCCTGTGTGGCCACCTGTCCAGGTAACTCCCAGGCAACCCCGTTTGTCCTGTGGTGCTTGGCTTCCTGTGGCTTCCTTTTTGCATTTCTTTGCATCTAGAAGTCATCAATTCATTTTTATTTTGGCTGCCTTTTGTTCCAGCACCCAGGTCTTCCCTTAGACGTCAGTGCTTCTGTTGTTTCTTGCAATTAGACCGCTTACACAGCAATGTCAGAGTCTATTAGTCGTCACAGTACTCTTTGCTCACATATCTCTTAATCTGCTGCGCTGTACATGGGCCCTGCTTTTATTTCAGAGACCTGTCTGCTTTTAGAGACACGGTCCCTGCCACGGCATTGTGTCAGACCAGCTAGTACATTTGTTGTTCTTTGCTGCTCAAGCTATGTAGTAAATATGGGCAATAAAAAGCTGAATTATGGCAGCCTCCGTGCCATGTTTACGTGTGAGGAGTTGAGGGCGTTTCATTTGCCTGCCTGTTCTCCCTTGCGAGAGCGTCGGAGAGGCAGAGAATGTTCTGCCTGATACTGAGCAACACATATCGATCTCCGGTAGCCTGAGATGGAAGTCAAGCTGCTTCATTTGCAGTTCCACATTAGGCCCCCTGACAGAGGGAGAGGGAGCAGCATAGGAAAAAGGAGGTGTAGGTGAAGGGAGGGTAGAGACAGATGGAATCAGATGCAGTGTAAGGAAGGCGGGAACAAAGCCCAGAGTGACAGAGAGGAGAGGAAAACTGAGAAACAAGTAGAAAAAGCCTGAGTGTGTACAAGAGCTTGCCGTTTAGCTGCCAGCAGATCCGTCTGTGGACGTATAGCTGGGACTCTGCAGCCATGCTGACCGCAGGAGAAATCTCCCGTACGCTAAATAGCAGATGGGGAAATCCAACACCTCTGGCAGTGGCAGCTTCTCCATGCCTAGAACAGAGGTTATCTTCCCCAGTGAATCGGGGCATTACATTACACATCTCCCATGTAAAGACATCACTAGATGTCAAGCATGAGTGTAAGTAACATTGCCCACTGGAATACAGCAGCAGGAGGAAGACAAAGGAAACACAGCAATGCATGACACTCCATCGGGGCTCTATCTGGATTATTAGCGCTGGAGCAACGAGTCATGGAATTAGAGGGGTGTCTGGGGATGCTTGACATTCCCCCACAGCAAAGCCGGATACTGACCTCCATGAGCTTAAAGAGATTAATGTCAGTCCAAGCTGCAATTGTTGGACTAAACCCCGCCCCTTTCTACCTTTCTCTTGCCCCGCCAGGAGAAAGTGTGTCATTTCAACCCTTAAGGTGCTGTGACAGAAATTGCATTGTGCCCCGTGAACACAGTTTGCAGAGACTTTGAGAAAGAAAGAACTTCTTTGTATTTTTCTCTCTCAATGAGACGCCACAGCAACGCGACCCCGCTCACACGTCTATCAGTCCCGTTGTTTGGCCACAGAGAGTAGTCCCTGCCTCCTTTTCTCAGACAGAACATCAGTGGCACAGACAACCCCAGCTGTCGGATTCTGAAGACGGCTCCCTTCAAGGCCGAAGTCCGCCGCGCCAGAGCCTGGGGATGGGCTGTTGTTTCCATCAACAAGTGGTGCCGTGGCCCTGTTGTGTACTTACAGACATGCCTCTAAAGTCCCCCAAGATTGAACTGATCAATCTCCCATCATCCGTCACCCAGCACACACACACGGCCCAGCGAAGACAACCCCCAAATGCATCTGAGTCCACGTGATTAAAACATACATATTCAGCTTGAATACATGAATAGACGTTCTCATAGAGTTACGTTCAGCAAGGGGGAGAAGATGAGACCAGCCTAGCAGAGAACATCCCAACATACTGGATAAAAACCTTAATTACCACTTTGGTTACAGCCTTCGCAGGTCTAATCCACTGCACTCACAGTAGATGGTGATTTCAGCTCATTTTAGAAGAAAGAGACTTGAGCAGAACGAATTACACGGGGAGCTGTAATGCTGCAGATAGACATCATGTTATTTATTTTGACACGGCTGACATTTGGATTCAGAAGCTTTTTTTTTTTTAAAGTCAGCCTTGAGAGGCGTTTTTGAGTTGCATTTTAAAATAATAAATGATTTCATTCTGGTCTTGTTTCAAGAGTTCATCAATTATCCAGACTTAGATTCTTGGCTGATTATAAGCTCTCTAGTGCATTTAGCTTACAGCATTAGGTCTTTGAAATGAGTTACAGAAAAAAATCTATTTTGTTTTTATCTGCTTATTCTTTGTGATTTGCAGTTTCAGTCTGCTTTGTCTAAAACACATCGATGGCCCCAAATGCTTTACTCCTCCTTTGGGGATAAGGAGATGCTGTCAACTGGATGAATATTCGCTGGCAACAAATCAATTTATATTTGGAAGCAACAACATGCAACGGCTATTATTTGTCTCTGCCTTGCCCGGCGAAGTCTATATATATTTCTTGTTGAAATGCCGATGGCCATGTGTTGTTCCACATTTAAAAAAAGTAGCATTATTCCATCAGAACTCTCCACATGTCGATTCACAATGACTCTTGTGTCTACACGTGAGCTACCACCTCTCATCTGGAAAGTGTGAAGATGGAGAGGCTCATCTGTATTTTTGTCTAAGTCTCCAAAGTGTTTTAATGAGAGTTGATGGAGGCCTGTGTGGCAGATCGGATGGGCTTCATGCTGGGAGAGAAACAGGGAGCTGTGGAGGAGGAGGAGGAGGAGGAGGCTAAAGCCTGAGGCTCAGAGCAGACACACTTGAGACAGCGAGTAGCCAAACTATGCAAGAGCTTATCTCCCTTTCTCTCTCCCTTTCTCTGCCTTTTCCTTTGTCTCCATCTCATCATATGATGCCGAAAGTACCCCGCGAAATCTGCAGTCCATCCCTCACCCTTTTCATTGACTCTACCCCTGCGTTGACTTGTGATCAGAGCCAACAGTGATGGCAAAATGTCAGATCACGCCAACGTTTCCAACAAAGACACACCACCTGTGTCAACAGCAAATAGTTATTCCCCAGATTTGGAAGTGACACAGTGACACCTGCCCCACGCAAATGAATGGAGTCGTTGCTGATGTGTTAGAGAACAGCAAACAACCTGAAGGGATTTCAAACGCGTGTGAACTATTTAAATACTGTAGTGATCCCTCAGGCTTGCCAGAGGAGCTGTGAGATTTCTACTAGAGGGAAAACAAACAGACTCTGGGCTGGTTTGTTTGTGTATGCGTGCTTGTAAGCGTGTGTTTGTGCATGTTCGCGTCGTACACGTGCAAGTTAACGCCCATATGTCTACTGTCTGCACTGCAGGCAAATGTCTATTTCTACCTTTTGAAGCAAGCGTTCGTGTGTCTCTGGATATTATCAGAGATTGTTCCCGGAGACTTCATATTTTATCCGAGGAATAAATAAAGGCGGTGGTTAATAAATGTGAGAGAAAAGACACTTTAGTTCACTGCGAAAAAGACGGTGGCCATCTGGTGACAGCCTCGCATCAGCGCTGTTTTTAATCATTCGGTGCCATTTGTTTTGGCTCACCCTCCTCATATCTCATTCTGTCTCATTCTGGTCTGTTCTAGTGGTTTAGTTAACATACGGGAGAAGACTCAGCTTTGTGCAGTTATCCATAAAATACTACATCACAACCACAAAGAAAAATCTGAGTTTTAGATGTATAAAATGTGTCAGAAATACAGGATGAGTTGTGGTCATTAATATCCGTTGCATGACCCACTGCTGTGGCCGAGCTCTCGACCCCCTCCATGGGTCTGTCGTTTTCAGTGGCATTTTTTCATCAGCCTTTGACCACCAGGATTAGGGGTGGTTACTGTGCACACGTGTGTTGACAGGACAGTGGGAGCACAGCGGCAGCCTGCTGGTCTCAGTGGTACTTGTCTACCTCCTTGTGTTCCCCTCAAGGACACAGAAACCATAGGTGTCCAATGATCTCGGACTGTGTCCGTCAGTAGCCGTTGTCATTTTGAACAGCAAAGCCTTCAACAGGCCCTCCTACTGACCTGTAAAGAATGTCCGGGTCCCTTTTTGCTTCCCCCCCCCTACAACATGTCCAAACGGGGGCTTGCCACTGGGCTATTGTATTACTTTCCCTCCTCAGAGACCCGTCTGACCTAAAACCTGTGGTGCTGCATGATTGAAAATTTGCAGTGGCGCTAACAATCTCTTTCTGGGGATTTGATAAGGAAAACTGTGGCTGTGGATAATAATTTTCTTATGTGGATTCTGAAAAAGGAAAGGGGTTGGCTCTGATTTCCGCCTTGAACTTGAAAAAAAAGAAAATCAAGGAAAGTGTCAATTTTCTTGCTTCACTGCATTCATTGCAACCGCTGACGATCTTCCCTCTTGCTTCTTTGCTGTCCAAACACTTCTCTGGTCTCTGCTCCTGTGGAAAGCCTCTCCTGTTTCTGAAATATTTGCAACATGTGTTAAGATTGAGTCAGACAGGCCATCAAGAACTGTTCATGCATCTTCATCTTTCTTTGACTTTCCTCAGCCTTGGGTCACGGCGCTTGTGTCTCCTCCACATTCTCACGAGCAGCACCCTGTTGCCACTCCAATCTCCTCGTTTGAAAATGTTATTCGCATGGCCATTTGTCTCGCTTTGTGGTGGAAAAGAGAAGTAGAATTTCATCACCTCATCGGGGCAGATGTTGATCTCTTTATTTCACAGTGGTGTGGATAAACTAAGGGGCGACATAATATATTCATTAGGATGTAATTCTCTATTCAATCATTCTCGTTCCCAGCCTGGATAATCAGCCCACTGGCCCACGGATGGGTCCACTCAATGCCAAACAAGGACAACTATCTGATTGGTTCTGCTCTCGCTGCCAAATGGATCTGACTGCAAAGAGGCCCGAGCTGTGTCAGCATCCCATCTCACATACACACAAACACACACAAACACACATTCTCTAGCAATCATCTGAGGACACAAACGGACCAACATGGAGACTTGTGTGGGACTGGCACACCTGGGCCTCTGGCCTCATATGCTTACAGCGGCATTTAGCTTGGTATCCAATTGGCTGTAAAACTAAATAATATCATTGCTTGGTACAGTTATGCAATAATAGAAAATCCCATGCTAAGTGACTCTCACACGTGTGTTTTATTAACCAAAGTCGCCGACCTGCAGCGGGTCAGACCCATTCTCTTTCGGTCATGCACCCTGCACTATTTATTGCTAGGATTAATGAGCGCTACGGTTTTCTTGCCCTTAGGTCAGTCAGGAGGAGGGTTACTGCTGTCATAGAGGTGTGCTTGTACTCTCTCTCTCTCTGTGTGTGTGTGTGTGTGTGTGTGTGTGTGTGTGTGTGTGTGTGTGTGTGTTGCTCTGGTGATTCTTGTCTGGTCCCCTTCACCCCTACATTTGGGAGAGAGAAAGAGCGAGACAGTGGCGTTTTTCCCCCATGAGAGCTCATTACTGCTCTTTTTCCCATTAGCCTTATGGTAACCTTCCCCAGGCCTGGCACTGTGTCACTCTCAATATCACTCCCAGCCGCCTGGCTCCCCCACCCCACCACAATGCCGAGTTACACCCACCTTTTGGAAGTGGTCTCCCTCTCTGCGTGTGGTAAAGCTACTGATGTTTCTTACAGCAGGGCCCGCACAGAACAATTACTGGCCCATTTCCATTTGTTTCATTTTCCCCGTGTTGATGGTGGTGTGTTTCAAGTTGCGGTAGACAGAAATACACATCGGGTGTAATTTACATCCGCCTCTGTTCAGAGTAATACCACCTGTATTATGTCTTGCATTCAAACGCACTGCAGGTAATGCTCATGTTGCTACAGTAACGGCTTGCTTGACAAAGAAATCAAACTGAGGGAGATTTGCTTCGTCTCACGAATGTTCATGTCGGAGGATTTTTAAACCATATAGGCACACATGTATGTTTGACAGCAGACTAGAGGGCCAATTTCCCAAGGGTCAAATTCTCCTCCCTGTACAGATTTAGTTTGTTGACAGCTGAGTCTACCAGGCCACAGCACCCATGTACCACTGGGGTTTAGCTTTAGTTGCATCTGATTTCCATGTTAAAAATAAACAAAGAACGCAGAATAGAGACAATATGGCTTCCCTCAGCAGTTTTACACGCTTTGGTTTCCCTGCGCATCTGCTGGATTTGAGTGTGTGCAAGTGGATTTGCATGTCTTTATAATGCTTTACCTACCAGGTTTCCATTTTAGAGTGGATTTGCACAGGATGGCAACAGAGTATTCTTCCAGTTGTTCTCATCTCATACGCAAATACACCACTGCTTTTACACCGCTGCTGCATCTGAACTTCACCGTGTAGAGTTTCCCACTGTAAGAGGGAGTTATAGCTTGTTTTATTGAAGGTATTCAGCATGTTTTCCGATCAATAGTTTTCCCTTAGAACTGAGATATCACTGGTTGAAGTGAATCAGTCGGAGTTTTGCTGCTGTGTGTGTTTGTGTGTGTGTGTGTGTGTGTTTGTGCTCACCCGTGTTTCTCATTCCGTGTGTTTGCAGTGGACGGAGGCTGGAGCGAGTGGAGCAAGTGGTCGGCGTGTGGTGCAGACTGTTCGATGTGGAGGAGCAGGGAGTGCACCCAGCCCTCACCTGGCCCTGGGGGCAAAGACTGCCAGGGACTTGACCTCCAGTCTCTCAACTGTACCAGCGAGCAGTGCCCACAGAGTGAGTGCACTACCCACCCACATACTGCAAACACAACTGTTCAACTCAGTGGAACAATAGAGGAGATCCCGTTGCACAAGTTATTTCTTTTACCACTTTTCTGCAACAGGATCAGTTGGATGCAGTTTAGTTTTAAATATCTGCTTATTATAGATGAGCTGATTAGTTGCAAATAAACATTTTCTAAATCAACAAATATGCTCAAAACAACATTTGAGAACACTGATATGATAAAGTAAAAGAAGCCCAAAGTGGAAAATGTATTAAAAATTGAAATCATGACGGTTTAGTCTTGCACCCTACATCAAAGACAATATCAAGTAGATCATAAGCAATACATCAGCAGCAGGTTTACAGGATTAGCATCAATTGACCCCTGAACTAAGGCAGGTAGAGAGGCTTTTCCCTTCATGCTCTATGTTTTTAAATACTGTCTCCACTTTGGCATGGGGAGCGAGAGTGTCCTCTCCTCGTTTTATTCGATCAGATAAACATTTTATGGCTCCTTATGGCATCAGCTTCCTGTGATAGATGGAAGGAAAGATGTCCATTTCATAAGACACTTGTACTGGCAGTAGAATTGTCTGCGGACCATTACCGGCTCGTCCCCACCTGCGTGACCTTTTTTCGACGATCAGTTCTAATAAACATTTGTATGACACCCGCTGCTAAGATAATATACAACCTTTTCACCTGCGTCGCTGCTGTGTTGCTCTCCGAGCTATTAATAGAGCTGAGAATTAAACCATCTCTCTTCTGAATAAAACACAAGCTGTCAGAGAAAGTGCCACGGGTCAAATCAGTCGGCGAAAGCACACATGGCCGGTGTGCATGTGTGCTGTGATTTGTGTTTATGCTGTGCGTTTATGTAGTTACAAAGCCAATGGGAAATTCACTTTTTTGTGTAAAGCAGCCACTGTGTTCCAACTAATACACTGTGTTCATTAATACTGTCAGGATAAGAAACCACGAAGCACGGCAGCTGAGTGGAAAGTAGCACCACGGGGTCCACTGCTGACCAGATGGACATGAAAGGAGAGCTCTTGTCACTCCCTGCAGATATCAAAGGCAGAAAGATATTGCAGCTTCCCATCCAGAAATGAGTCTCAGGGTGGTGTCTCATAGAGACAAATCTTATAAATAGCGCTCTCTTTGGCTGATCCGCATGATAAACACAGGGTTTTAATGGGGACTGGGTTAACATGGGCCAGTGAATTAATAAACTGAATTATGTATCTTGCACCATTTGACGTGATCAGATAGACCGATGCATAGAGAGAGCTGCGGGGTGGATTGAGCTTCTGTATGTCACATTATGTGTACGTGTGAGAGAATGTGTCCGTCTGTGCGCACGCGTGTGTCAACCGATAGCTGAATATTGGCTGATGCAGTGAACCAGGGAGCTCTGTCGGCCCATCATCAAAGGTCAGCAGCTCCTCCCCAGAGAGGCAAGATATATACACAAAGATGCCAGTCATTGTTCCTCACACACACACACACAGACACACCGAGTCACTCAGTATTTACACTGACAGTGCAGAGCGGAGCGCTGGCCTCTGAAGAATGCCTGTCCCAATCTGTTCCCAGCAGATGTGTTTCCATAGACAACGGCTGTGTGAAGTATTATAATAAGCAAAATAGCAAGATGGTTTTGGCTTGTCAGCAACTCGCATACTTCAACCATGTCTGCAGGCTATTAGCTGAGATGGAAAACTTCCCCCTGAAACAAAAGGCGCCCTCCTCTTCTCCAGTGTAATCGAACAATACAACTGCGGAGTGAGCCGCAGTTACTCGGCCACAAAAGACGCCCTTTGTCTGAGGACCTCACAAACATCTCTAATCTCCCTCATTAGGCCTGGAATGGCATTCGTTAGATGAGGTTGTTGTTTTTGTTTCTTGCATATAAGAGAATCAATGTGCAGCGGCGAGCTTTGTGTTACAGCTCAAAAATAAACAGATCTGACCCAGGCAGGATCATTTTCATAAAGCAAGCAAAAGCCCAAGATGGAGCTACGCAAAATCTGTGCAGGGAAATAATACGCTGGCAGCGTGCCAGAGCCTAAATGGCAGGCAGGTGTTAGAGGGCAGAAAAAGGATAGTGGGGAAAATGATACTGCTCACATCCGTAGGCACAGGAAATTAGGACAACATAAAAACAATTATTTGGCTTAATGTGTGTAATGAAGTTAATGATCTAAATATGCAGCATCTTGTTTTGGGGGGTGTCACAAATTAATCTGTCGTCGGTCTGTTTTTGACCCTAGGCAGCTAATTTGTTGGTGAAGCAGCTGATGTTTTCGTCACGGGCGTCTTTGTCAGAGCGGGGTCACAGGCTTTTGTGAAAAATGACTGAACATTTATTTTGGGCCATATTTCACCGGGACCCGCTGAGGGATGGGACGACTGTATTGTGGAGATAGTAATGGTCACGTTCACTTTGAGAGTTTTAGTAGCCGTATTTCCCTGACCTTAAGAACTCCCATGTTATTCATCTTCGGGCGAGTGACTAGGATTGGCCATGGGATGAAATATATTCTCAGGTCTCTTGATAAATGCCCTGGGGGGGAGGCGCAGGAGGCTGCAAAGCTTTTATTTATCAATGCGGGAGAGAGAATGGAGCAAGGGGAGAGAGTCGAGGACTATCGGGTCCAAACGTTGTGCTGACTGCCAATGCAGCGAGAGTGCAAACTTCAACGGGATCCAGGTACATCGCCTCAGAGGAGATGAATTATTATTTTTATATAAGTCCGTACTGGCCCATCTCAAGTCAGAAACTGATCCCGAACCAGCCAGCCCTGGAGTGAGTCTGAGGAGCTGAACTGTAAGCTCGGGGAGAGGGGAACAAACAGAGATTGGCCCGGGGTCAGCTGTGAAAACAGCTCATCACAGCCACAGATTATCCGCCGACGGGTGTCAATCATGAAGACACGTCGCACAAAAAGAGAATCAAAAGTTCTTTGCCAGCAATTACGCCAAGTGGACGTGAACCATGGAGTGACGGGCGGCGGAGCTGAAGAGAGATAAATTGGTCGAGTCTGTGTTTGAAAAAGAGGGCGAGAGAGGGCGCGCTAGAGGGGGACTAAAGTAAAGCCCATCCAATTATAAAACCCGATTAGCTATGTCAATTAAAGTGTGATGGATGTCCTTTCAGATATTGGCTGGCATCATGAAAATCAATGGAACAGGGCCAGGAAGAGCCGAGAGTACTTGCTGGTCAGGGTTGTAGCGAGCAGCGGGATCGTTTCACTGTGACACCTGGTGGGTCAGATAAAACTTCTCTGCGATGCTCCGATAAACCACCAGAGACTGCAGACAGAATAGAGGGAGAGAGAGAGAGAGGAAGAAAGAAAGAGATGGGGAGAGATGGACAGAGTTGCCTGATTGACTGACTTTATTGTCTGGGTGCAAGAATGGGGTGTGCAGGGAAAAAAGAAGAATAGAGATACTGGATCTCTGCATCTGAGGTTAGCTAGGTGCCTTTGGTTTGCCCTCAGAAAGTAAACAGCAACTGGCCAATCTAAGGCTATGTTTATCCAATCAGCAGAACCCGGTTGGCCTGTCTCCTTGCTGAGGGGTGTTGTTTTGTCTTTAGTCAGACTGCACATCTCTCTGTAGACTGCAGCGCTAGAAGTCCAAATATCACAGCCTCGTCTGGCCTTTGACTCACCAAGACGATTGGTGGGAACTTTTAATGAGAGGTTCAACAATAGTCTTTCCCCCTTTTTTTTGGAAGGTGGAAGGTTTAGCCCGGCTGCTTAGAGTTAAGCACCTCAATGCTTCCCTCAGGAGAGAGAGTCAGAGGAGAGAGGCACGGGCAGAATTAGAGGTGGAGGAACCGTGTATGTATTCTGTAAGACCCTCCATAGCATAGATATATTCTGTGCACATGTGCTATGTGATGTCAAGAACAAAACACACTTGTGTTTATCTTCAGCCAGTCATTCACAATTGATTGCATGTCAAGATATCTGTGGCATTACAACGGGCCGCCGTAGAGCCCGGCTGCATGTAATCCTGCTACTCAAGGTATCAGATTGTTCTGAGATAATCACCCATGAAATAGATTCTGGCGTTTCTCTTAAAGACTTGGGTATGTCAGGCGGCTTTGTCCAAAGGAATGGATTTCTCAAGGGAAGAGGAGAAGGCAAGGACAAATGGATGAAACGAAATTAACGGAGATGAGTGAGACAAAGACAGAAAGAATACTTATTTGACCATTTTCTCTTCAGTTTTGACTGTTAGCACTCTGCTAATTGAATCGCGCCATTCTCATACCACAGATTTACCAACACCAATTAAAATGAGTCAAATCAGTGCTTCGAATGTTGAGCGCAGTCAATCCGTAGGATTATCCAGTGGTTAAAAAAAACAATACCATGACAGTCTGGGGATATATTTCAACTAATGACACAAACCTTTTTGGACGCGTTACTGCTGGAAAGTAAATTGCTCATTCTGTCTCTGTGTCATTCTTTGTTTTTCCTTTTATATTTTTAATTTCCAGTTTGCTCTTCCTCCTGCTGCGGTCCTCCTTTTGTTGTCAACACGCCAGCCCGCGGCACTTTAACCTTTGCCGTTGTTCTCCGTCCCCCAAAGCTGCACTGCTCAATGCGTCCCCTCCTTGACTGTGTTCAGCTGACAGCGCTACGCCCCCGTGGCTCCCGGGGACAATGGCCCTACACAAAGGCCCCGGGAGCATTCTCCACCTCCGCCACCAGATTCCCCAAGCCCAGGGAGACAGCCGTAGCAAATCCCATTCTCCTGCAAAACACACACAACACACACACACACAAATGCATGCACACGTTGATGTCATCTTCATACTGTACTTTGAGGGGAGAAAGATGCTCCTGCTCCACCCTCAGGCTTTTGAGAGAGAGAGAGAGAGAGAGAGAGAGAGAGAGAGAGAGAGAGAGACATTCAATAAGAACATCCTTCCATCCTTCTCTCTTGTGGGTGTTGTGAGCATAAAGAGAAAAAGACAGGGGAGAGAAAATATATATATTTCTACATACATAAACATATCTTGTCCACAGGTTGACATTGAAGCTTTAGGCTTTTAGATATTACTCATACTCATATATATATATATATACAGTATATATATATGATATTTACTAATACTGGCTCCATTAAAGGGATAGTTCGAGACACCCAAACTATCCCTTTAACTCTGCATCGTACAGTCAGGGACAAAGTCATGCAGCATTAGGTGGCAAGCAAAGAATGTGGAACTGATGTATCTTTTATTAACCTATTAACCAGATCCTCAAGTGAGACCTTTGTCTGGAGGATCTTGGCTCCAGCATCACACACGTTGGACTTGCCATTCATTACCTGAGGGAGTTTTTCAGTTGTGCCTAATGATTTCTTTCCTGTCGTTCTGTGTCCTCCCCTGGCAGCCGTGAGCGGGGCCGAGGACGTGGCGCTCTACGTGGGCATGGTGGCGGTGGCTCTGTGTCTGACACTGCTGCTCATCGTGGTGGTCCTGGTCTACCGGCGCAAGAAGGAGGACTTGGACTCTGACGTGGCAGACTCCTCCATCCTCACCACTGGCTTCCAGCCCATGGGCATCAAGCCCAGTAAGCCAGGTGTGTGGGCACCGCGGCCACGCAGGCCTCCCCCCCACAGCAGTAGGACACTGTTCTTTGTTCTACCCCTCCTCTGTGCGTCCGTCGGTCTGTCCGTCTGCCCACCGTGACCGTGCAGCACCCATCTACATGTACCACTGAGTCTGTGTTTGTTTGTGGTTGTGGAGGTGGTGTGAATGTCTTTACAGTGGTTTTTAGTCCAAGCAAGATGTATCCTGTGTGTGTGTGTGTGTGTGTTTGTGTGTGTGAGTGTGTGTGTGGCGCATTAGCTGTTTATTTGTCTGCCTGACACATTATGTTTCGCCACCACCTCATTGTCAGGAAATGTACCCACTCTGTTTACTGCCTGTGTGGAGCCTCTGAGGTTTACCAGCGAGTAATAGAAATACAACTGTCTGAGTTAGATGGAGATGGGGAACTGGGTTGCAGTGCCTGTGATTCACCGTGAAAAAAGCCTTTATACGTTCTGGGTGCTAAGCTGTGTCTGAGTTCTGTTTGGAATTGATTGTGTGGTTGCTAAACAGACAGACAGAGAGAGAGAGAGCGAGAGAGGGGATGTGAATTGACTGGCTTTGTGTGGAATTTTTGTTTGTGTATTGTCGGGTGTGTGCGTGTGAGTCTTCTGTTTTCAGCACCATGTGTCTTTCCTGTGTTTGTTTCAGTTTTGGTCGTGTGTCGCGACAGCTTTCGAGAGTGTGAGGTCTGTCTCTGTGATGTACGAACCCCTCTTCGCCTGCCACTCATCGGAGTTTCACACATTTGCTTTTGTCTGTTTTCTTTTCATTATCTGAACAGAGAATTCCCATTTGCTCACCATCCAGCCTGATCTAACCACCACCACCACCAGTTACCAAGGCACCCTACGCGCTCGCCACGATGGCACTGGGAAGTTTTCAATGACCAACGGGCCCCTGCTGGACCCGCTTCCCAATGGCTCACACACTCTGCACAACGGCAAGCTTAACTCAGACCCTGCTGACTTTGTGAGCAGACTGTCCACTCAGAGCTACTTTAAAACTCTGCCCCGCGATGTAGCGAACACCTCCTATGGGACCTTCAACTTCCTGGGAGGCAGGCTGACGATCCCCAGCACAGGTGGGTTCTTTGTTTGGATTCATATGTGTTATCTATAAAGCTCAATCGGTTTGGACGAAGAAAAAGATAAATCATTGCCTTTTATTTTTAGTCTAGTTTGTGTTCTCACGGATTTTTTTTATACACAAACTAAGAGCTGTAAACAGTCAGTCAAATGGACTGACATGTAACTCATTCAGTGGACAGTTTTGATGATGGTCGTCCTGTGAGCTCTTTGTGACTGGCTTCTCTGGTTGTCAGAAAAGAGCTCCCAAAGTCTGTCTCGTATGTTCTCTGAACATATGGAAAACACATATTTGATTGGCTGATAAGCATCACGTGAGATGTTTTACAACGCATGTAATTTGAAAAAATGGAATGATTGTCAGTTATCTACTGGTTATACTGTATGTCCGGGTCCGGATACGACGGCATCTGGATCCGGTAAGTGACCCCTGTACTATACGATCACTTTACACTGACTTTTTTTAACATCATATTTAAAATTAAGAAATTTAAAAAATGAATTAATTAAAATAGAAATGTTATACTATGAGTTTTTTCAACACACTATACTTAAGCTTTTTTTTTCTTCTTTCGACATTCTGTAATATGACTTTTTTTCACATACTATACTATGACTTTTCTAAACATACTATAATATGACTTTTTTTTTTTACTTATTTCGACATACTTTACTATGACTTTTATGACATATTATACTTTACATTTCTTGACATTTTTCGACTAGATTTCTCTTTTCTCATCTCTTTGATGACTTCTTATCAACATACTTTACTGTGACTTATTTATGCTTAATCAACATGCCTTTATTTAACATTTAAAATACCTTTTTCGACATGCTATATACGACTTTTTTTCGACAGAGACACAGCATCGTAGGTCTGTGTTGTATAAGGACAGGGAGATTTCAGTAATCTGTAGGATGTTCTGTTAGCTGCTATACTTCCAACAAACAAGAAAAGTTCTATCTAAACAATGTAACATCTGCTACTAAATGTAGAAATACATTTATCCTCTGCTGATATTAGCATTACAAGGCATTAACACCAAATATTGTTCAGGAGTGTGAACAGAAGGCACTCCGCTGCATAAAAAATCCTCTTCAAAATAAAAGCACAGGATTTTCTTTTCTTTTCTTTTCTTTTCTTTTTTTCAGGCAAAGGCCCGCGACCCACCAGTTCAGAATCACTAATCTAGACATTATTATTGTATTTCTCACTGTGATACAAACTAGATCATAACTGTTTTATAAGGAACAAGATGAAACACCAAAAATGCATGTGAATGGTTCATTTGTTTATCTAAAAGGTGACCAATCACGAAATGTTAACATACAAAAAAGCAAGGTCTTTACAGTATGTAGAATGCATGATTGAGTTAAATGTTTTGTCAGTAACCTACATTTACACTCCACAGCATGAATAGTTAAAAAGTTCGGTACAGTGATGAGATCAATTTCTATGACATGAAGAGGGTCTACTTAACACACAGTACTCTAAAAGGTTCCTGGACTAAAACCTTGAACAAATTATTCCAATTAGGCCCTTCGCTTTCAACAGAGCTGGTTGAAATTGTAGCTGATGTCCACAAGTGTCAGTTGTGCACTACGTGCATAGACCAAGGAATAGAGATTGTCCACAAAAGATATGAAAAGCCCACCATCATTAGTCCCCTGTTTTGCTTCCCGTCTTCACATTAGCTAAGTACAGAGCTTATATAATTATACTGGAAGACAGTGTTTTCACTTGGCTCATTGCAGTCCAGATTAGCCGATGACAGTGCCAGTAAGCCAGTATCTTGAGGGAGAAAAGGTCTTTTCTTCTTCCGTTTTCCTTGCCATCACTCTCACTCTCTCTCTCTCTCTATCCCTCTCTCTTTTCTCCATCTCCTTTTCGCTCTCTTACAGATATTTTATGCATGGATTACCTCAAAGCCATGTAGGCTATACCACGCATTGGCACCCATCTCCTCATTGGGACACGGAGAACAAAATATCAGCACTTGCATCCAGTCAGAGGAGATATGCTGTCATTTAGCACAGTTTCAGAGCAGACACATGGAAGACAGTTTATAGATTCAGACAAGGCTGTGAGCATTAAGGCACCTTCGCCTTATTCAAACAGATGTTTTTTTTTATGGTAAACAGACCCAGTTTACAATATAGAGACTCTTAAGATTGTGTCACATCGTCACTGTTTGTACCACATTTTGAATAGGATTCTCAGTGGAGGATTTTGGCATGAGAATCACAACACTAATGCCACAACATTCAAACTACCTCAATAGCTCTCTCTATTCTCCAAGGTGCATTCCCACACTCTTCTGGGGAAGTGTAATTTTCCTTGAGTAGTCTGCTCCATGGTCTCAATTATCTACTTGGTGGCAGACGGAGGACATTTAAACTTGCGATGCAGTGTGTGCTTTTGTCTCAGGCTAATTGTGGACCGTGGGGACGTGTGCCGGCTTGACTGCCGGTGCACAGATTTGCATCTACTGTACCTGACGGAGGCTGCCTCTGACCTTCAGAATAGATTTGTTTTGTTTTTGTTTTTGTAGTCGTACAGTTTTGTTGAGTAGGCTGGCTTCTTTTTTTTTGAAATGACAAAGAACAAATGAGCCTGTCCCCCTTCTTCCTTATCCCCGCTCTCTCCCTTTGTTGTTATTTGCATTAGGAATCAGTCTGCTCATTCCTCCCGAGGCCATCCCCAGAGGAAAGATCTATGAGATTTATCTCACCGTTCAGAGGAAGGAAGATTTAAGGTGGGTCTCTTTAACATTGCCTAACTGGCAGTCTTCCCTGGATGCCACTAGGCTGTTTGTTTTGATGCTCTACTGTTCCATTAGGAAAGGCTTAAGAGTCTACGCCAGTGCTGAGAGATGTAAATAAATAACGTAGCCTTTTACCAGGTTGTGCACTATTTAAGTTAAATGAATTGAAACACTGTTGATCTTGCTTGCTACATTCAGTCTCTGAAGGCACAGTCATCATAGCATGCTGCGATAGTCTTATGTTATTACTCAGTTATCACAACTACGCCCAGCTAGTCGGCGAGTCCAGCAGGCTTTCATCATTCTCTGTTAACAGCTGCTAGATAATTTGCAGAGGTGACCAGAAAACTCTCACAAATAAAATAATGAGTAAAGGCACTTCATCTAGATTCATTTCTCTCTCTCTCTCTCTCTCTCTCTCTCTCTCTCTCTCTCTCTCTCTC